GAGCGGCCCACGCTTCAGGGTGACTTCCATCAAGATCCCGATAACCACAGGGTGGGCACCTGGCTGGTGCTACATAGGCAGGAAGTTAGGGCTCCAGATCCACCTGTTTCATTGGGAGGTTCTAAAATTTGGAATTTCTCTTCTTTAAAACAAGCTCAAATGCCTTTCTTGAAGAACATAGAAAGCAAAGCCAGAATCTGTGGTGATATTGCCTTTTTGCAGTAGCATACATTAAAATAAATACAAGTTTAAATGTTTTATTAACTTTTTTTTTTTTTTTTTTTTTTTTTTTTTTGCTCTTTACTTCTTTGGAGAAGAAAAGAACTCAAAACAAATGTCATTCCTGCGGGACTGAGTAAGCGTGGCGCGCCTCGGAGCAGCCTGGGCGGCGCTGGGCATCTCAGTGGTAGCTGGTCAGACCACGGGACTTAGGCGGCCCCGGAGGGCGATGCCCTAGAGTCGGACTGACATCTGCACCTCTCAGAGGGACAGCAGAGAGGTGACGGCACCTCCTGCACCGAGGCCACTCCGAGGGTCATAACCAGGACACAAGCTCCTGGGTTCTGGAGTCCTCCCCACGGATGGGGATTGTAGATCCCAGATTTTTCCCCCACAGTCATGATTTCAAACATCCTGCCCTGCCCTTCACATAAATACATTCCTACTTGTCAGCACATATGGCTCAGACTTTTGTTTGGAAAACACGGTTACCATCACAGTATCACCATGTATCTCTCATATGCGCTTGGGAAGATTAGCAGATGGCAGGTCCCCTCTGTTCCTGGGGTGGGGAGGGGCGCAGTGGGACTCTTTGCTGGTGTCCCGAAGCTCTGTCAGCCATGCGCTGGCCTGGCTCACCCTCTAGCCAGCCTGCCGTAGGATCTGGTTAGAACCGATAACCCTGTGATGGTTCACTTCAAGTGTCAACTTGCCTAGGCTATGGTGCCCAGTTGTTTGGTGAAACAGCAGTCTAAATGTCACCGTGAAGTATTTTTTAGATGTGATTAATGTTTAAAACAGTAGACTTTGAGCAAAACACATTGGCCCTATTTAATGGAGGGGGGCCTCACTCAGTCAGTTAAAGGCCTTAACATAAAAGACTGAGGTCCCTAGCCAGAAATTAAAGCTGTCTACAGGCCTTCAGACTCACGGCTGCAGCCTCAGCTCCTGGTGGGATTTCTGGCCTGCTACCTGCGAGTTTGGACTGCCAGCCCCCATGGTGGTGTAAGCTAAACCCTCAACATCTCTTTCTCTCTCCATCTATGTATTTCTGAGGGACATTGCCCATAACTTCTGTGACATCCTCCAAAAACCCACAGCCCCAAAAGGGAACCCAATGTGTCCCCTGGCAACTGCACTTCCTATACATACATATGTGCGCACACATGTCCTACTGGCCCTTCTGTCTGCAGAACCCTGACCAATACAGTCCCCGACTGCCTGGCAGGACACTCCATTTTTTAAGTACACTCCCAGAGAACAGCCCCAAAGAGTACAAGCATATGGACCTCTAGTTCACCACCTCTCCCCTTGTCATCTTACTCCTGGAAAATTTTCCATGACAATATGACAGGGTGAGTTTTTCTCTGATTTGGGTTTTGGGTTTTTTTTTTTTTTTTTTGCAGTGGTGGGGTTGTTTGGGGGTTGTAAGGGCTTGGGGTTCCTGACATGGCCAAGGAAGGGCTTATGAAAATCACACTGTCCCATCAATTACCTGCGATCTCAGCCACCTCAACAGGGACAAGAAGTCCAGTTGCCAAGGGACAAATCTTGTTCTTCTTTGGGGCCACAGACTTTTTGGAGGATATGACAGAAATTATGGGCAATGTTTCCCAGAGAAATACACAGGTCCACACACGTGTGCAGGCGCTCCCAAGAGCACCCCACACCTGGAGGAAGAGACCTCACATGTGGGAGAAGCTCTGCAGACTGGAACCCCAGTAACAGCAAAGGTGAGGAGGGACAACCAGGCGGCAGGACTGACCGAAAGCCAACCCACGCCCACGGAGCCCCTGCTGCTCGCCGGGTGCCCAGGAAACGGCCGACCAAGCTCAGGTCTGGAAGGACTAAGCACGTGGGTGAACGTGGGAGAGCCCACGACCTCCAACCGAAAGTCGCGGAAGAGAGCAATTGGTCTCCCGAGTCACCCAAACAGCTGACTCTGCAAGAGGAGAAGCAGAGTGGAACTCCCGACCTTACCCCTGAGCATCCCAAGTCCTTATGTGTAGCGTCCGTGGCCACACTCAGAGACATGTCCCTCAGAGACAAAGCAGGGGCACTGGTTCTCTTTCCACCTAACCACATGGGGGGCAGCGGGGCAAAGACACCAAAAGGTGAGAAACGACCAGAGTTCAAGACTCTTGATCCAGGCATGAGAATCAAGCTCCTTCAGGCTCCCAGAGCAGCCAGCCATGGGGACAGCCAATGGGGACAAGTCACACGCTGGTGGAGAAGTCTGGAGAGGGAGGACGGAGCGCTAAGGAAGAGGGGGTGGCAGCCATAAGGGAGGGACACTCGATAGGTGGGGCTGTGGCAGGATGGAGGGGCCGAATGCTGGGGCAGACCCTGTCACCCACTGCCACTGCCCCTTGAGCTCAATGCATACTTTCTCATGCTCTTCCATTTCACCCAAGGCCCACGCTCCCTGTCACCAGAGCCCGTCTTCTCAGACTTTCGGTCCCGTCCGAGGTATTTTAAAGATAGCAAATGCCTGCACGTCTACAGAGTTTCAGGAAGGAAGGAAAGAAGGAAGGGAGGGAAGGAGGGAGGGAGCCATCCAGGAAATCTTCCTCATAAAAATCATTTTGCTTGTCTAATTTCGAAACACTCAAGCCTGGCTATTGTCACTTTTGTTTCCCAAGGAGCTCACGGAACGCCCGGACACCAGATCTAACCCTTCTTTCCGAGTGTTTAAAACGACGCGGGGCGAGGGAAGAGGGGAAGAGGTAAATCAGACTGTAGGGCGAGAGTTATCAAGTTGCCTGTCCTGGAAAAAGTCAGAAGATCCATTTCGGGCCGCGCGAGACAACTCGAAACTGGGAGGCAGGATTCCAAACAGACGCGGGGTGTTTGCTGCGCCTCGCTCAAGCGAAGCACCCCCCCCAGCCGGCGCCGGGGCCTGGCGAGCAGGCGGGGAACCGAAAACGGTCTCCAAACCTCCCGCCGCCCCACCCCCACCTGGGCCCCTCATTCGATGCTGTCTTCCTCCTCCTCCTCCTCCTCCGGGACGCACAGCCTGGGAGTCCGGCCAGGACAAGGACTCAGTCCCTGCGGACCGTCACTGCCCTCAGCTCTGTGAGGCTAATTTGGTCAGACCGAGATGCCGGAAGGATAAGCATCAGAAAGGACAAGTGTCAGGGTGACAGGGGCTACGAGAAAAGGTGGCACTGACGGTTGTCTCAGAAGGGAAGGCGATCACTGACAGCCCAGCGCACAGCACCTTTATCTTCCCCACAAAGCGGAAGGGAACAAGGGGAGCCGCGTCCCCCCCCCCCCCCCCGTGGGCTGACGAGGGGTGCCCGCGGCCCAGGCAGGCCAACCAGGCTGCCGGGGCAGCTGCGAATCTGTGGGACCCGGGATAAAATGTAAACGTGGAGCCCGTGGTTCAGAAGTATCAAGAATTTCGAGACAGCCACAGCAGAGCATGACACCCAGCCAGGGTCCTTCCGAGCTCGGGGCCTGTGCAGGCTTCCGGGAGGCTCGCAGGGAAGCCACCCTGTCTGCCACCCTGGCATAAAGGGGTAACTTTCCAGACCTGCCCCAGATGTGATGAGAGGTCTTGTCATCTGGTTTGAAAGACACCTGACCCGTCAGGTCTGCCTTCCTTTGAGGTTCATCCTCGAGGTAGCCATGGGACAGGGTGGGTAAGTGAGCCCCACCAAAGCTGCCTCCCGGAGGGCTCAGAGGCTACGAATGAGCTTGGGAACAAAAGAACCCCCAAAGGGCACGAATGGAGACAGCTCCAGACACATTGGCGGAGCTGCCTTTCCAGCCCAGAGGTCTGCATCCACGAGCCCACGCCCGAGTCCCCCGCTCAGACCCACTAGCGGGAGCAGCAGGAGTCCCAGGAGATTCCAAGAGCCCCCGGGAACAGCTCCGAGGAGGCATCTGGTCCAAGTCTGGATTTCAGAGATCAGAAAGCAAAGCCCAGAAGGCAGTGCCCAGAGCAAGGTCGAGCCCTCCACGCGGTTTGCAGGACACAGGCTCTGCAGCAGGTTCCATAAACCACTGAGCAAGCGCGTGGGGGGTCCATCAAGCCCTCCCCGCAGCACAGCCACACTCTCCCCACATGGCCTCGGGAGAGGCCTGACTTCACCGCAGGGCAGGCCCCCAGGCAAATTCAGGACGGTGCTGTGCAGGTCCTATGGTGAGCAGGGTCTTAAGGACTTGGGGCGTGGCCATGACAAGGAGACAGACCTGGAGACAGCCTGTGGAAGACCCAAGGGCGGCCGCCGAGCACCCACGCTGCCTTGGCATCCAGAAAGGCCCAGGGGAGGAAAGGCGCCCGCCCCGGTGGAATTTCCCTGACTGGGCAGGTTCCATCAGGCAATGCTAAGCCCACGCTCGGTCTCCCTGGAGAGCAGGCTGCTTTCAAGGAATTTTAAACTGCTCGGAGCCCAGTGAGGTCAGCAGGGGGTATGAGCCCACTTAGCCCCTGCAGCATGAGATGAACTTTAGGGGCTTCCTCTATGTCAGGAAAGAGGCTTCTCAGGTATCTAATCCCCCAGGCCAGCTCATTTCACTCAGAGAGCTCCCCATTCTACCAGATCAAACCTGGGATTGAGTTTCTCCTGGGCCAGGTCCTCAGAGGGGGTGGGGTCACGCCCCTGACCTGCAGAAGGGACCTGAGCTGGCAGGAGACACCAGCAAGAGCTGAAGTCTGTGCCAGGGCAGGCTCTGGGCTGACCCAGCTGGGCTGGGGGGGGGACGAGGTCGTCCCGGGAATGTGAAGGGTGGGCCTGGCCCAGGAACCGTGTTCCCCACCCCCAAGGCTGACTCACTCAGGAGTGTTGATCCAGATGATGTCCAGGTGGCAGTAGTAGACGCACTCCTTGTCCTTGTAGGTGAAGCACGTGCAGCGCCTGGATCGGTGGTGCTCGGGGCCCTCCTCAGCCTCCTGCTCCCTGGCCTGACTTGGTTCCTGCTCCTGCCCCGGGCTTGGACCCTGCACTGCTATGACAGGAGCCACAGTCCAGCCTCTGAGGCCAGCCCGAGTCTCTTCAAGGTCCCCCTCAGATGTGGCTGCAGGAGGTACCTGGAGCACGCCGCTCCTGCCAGCGTCCCCAGGCTGGGGGGGCACGAATCCTGCAGGAGGCAGATAGAGGGCTCCTGAGCTGAGTGTGCAGACCCCTCAACCCCTGCCAGCACCAAACACCTGAGGAGGGGTCGGAGAAGCAAAATTTCTGCAAAGTTTGCAAAGCTATGTGCACAGTTTCTGGAAAGTTTGCGAGTTACGTGAAAAGCTTGCAAGCTATTTTCACTCTCTGCAAAGTCTGCAAGCGATTTGCACCCGAGGAAAACTTGCATGCATTTTGCACACTTTCTGAAAACTTTGCAAGCATTTTGCACAGTCTCTGAATAGTTGGAAAACATTTTAAAAAGTTCCCAACTTCATGAAAAGTTGACCAGGTCGGTCTGGGCATCGGGTCTCCAGCCCCTGTGAGGGCTGCAAGCCCCAGGGCCGGCGGGGTAGTCCTTGCACGCCGCTTCTGCCCCCCAGCACGCCCCCCGGCGTCTTCAGGGGTGGAGAGTCCAGGCGAGAGCCTGCTCCCGGCAACCCACACTTTCTCCGCGCCCCCAGTCCCCACAACCCTGGGTCCTTTTGTGTGCGCTCCCGCCAGGAGAGGCGCGCCCGCCCGCTTACCTGCGGCGGCGGCAGAGGTCACCGTGAGCCCGAAAAGGAGCCACAGCCCGGGCTCCATGAACCCTGATCAGGCGCGGGAGCTCCGGGCCGGGAGGGCGGCCGCTCCTGGCCGCGAAAGGGCACCGGGACCGGGCACAGCTGGCCTCGCCCTCCAGTTGTGGGGTTCGAGGACGGCCGCTAGCTCGCTGCGTCCCCAGCTCCAGCCACAAGTTGGCTGCGGCGGTCACAAAGTTTCAGAGCGCGCTGCCCATCCCAGCACAGGGCTGGCCGGCTGTGGACTCAGGCTTTTCTGGCTCCCGCACCACCCCCCTCGCCTCCCCGCCCCCCGGAGGGGCTGGAGCTGCGGGGCCTTTGAACCCGGGGCGCACGGGGGTCGCCTCCCAGGCTTGGGGTCGGGGGAGCTGGCCCGGAGCACAGCGGCCGGAGGCGCACCCAGGACAGCGAGGGGCGGGGGCGGCGCCGCTGGGTGGGGTGGGGTAGGGTAGGGTGGGGGCCGAGACAGCTGCCAGCTGCCGAAGGCCACACGCGCGCGCGCACGCGCGCGCGCACACGCGTACTCCCCGCCGGCTGGGACCTGCAGCCCAAAGTAGCAGCCCCCCACGCATAAGCAATATGAGATGATAAAAGGCTGCGCCTAAGGGTTGTTATCCATTATCTCAGGGTCTAAGGGAAAGAAACATTTCTCAATGTTCACCTAATGACACCTTAGCCCTTGCACAAGAGCCTGCTTGCCAAGGCGCTGGGTGTACTTTACACCCGTGACTCACGGGCGCAGGCGTCTCCCTACCTCTCCCGTTCGGAGCAGCTGGGTGGGGCGGTGGCCCAGAGCAAAGTCAATAAATATCCTGGGCTAGCGGTCCTGAGGTGCCCAGGACTTCCTCATGGCCCCTGCACAGGTGGAGCTGCTTCAATGAGAGTCAGATTCCTGTCCCTAAAGGCCAAGTTCATTCAACTCAACAACGGTGCACCCTTCCGGAAGTGGCTTCCCAGCAGCCCCTAATTTCTTCGTAGCCTTGGTGGTGGGATGTGTGGGAGGCTCTCCCATCTCCATCCCAGGTAGAAATGTCCCAGGCCCTGGAGTCATTCCTCATTCTTAGGGCACTTGTGGTCTATTTAAACCATGTCTGCAAATGACCCTCCTCTTGTTAAGGATGGGGTTGAATACTGCCCCTGCCCTCTCTAGCCTTAAGGACCAGCTAAACCAAGAATGCAGCGGACTTCTGGGTCGAGTCATAAAAGATGCTGCAGCTTCCACGTGGCTCGATGGCCAGGACACTTATCCTCTGAACACAGCTGCCATGTCGTGAGGCCACACAAAGGAGTCAACATGGGGAGATCACATGGAGAAACCCGCATAGAGAGAAACTGAGGCCTCCCAGACAGCAGCCGGCGTCAGCCACTGGTGTGTGAATAAATGAGCCTTCAGGTGACTCCAGCTTCCAGACTTGAAGACTTCCAACTGAGGACCAGCTGTCCCTGCTGTGTCCCGACCGAATTTCCCACCCACAGGATCCATGAGCATAACCAATGGCTGTTTTATACCACTGCATTTGGGGTAATTGGGTAGAGTCGTAGTAACTAGAATAGCACTCAAGCTTCCAGAATTCAAGACGACACTTCAGTTCCTCCATCTCCTCACCCCCATTATGCCCAGTCGCTCCAAGTCAAGATGCAGAAAGGAGTGGAGTGTGAAGGACGCCGTCTTTTATAGGGTCCACCAAGCAGGACAAATGCTGGTGGGGGGGGGAGGGTGTGTGTGTGTGTGTGTGTGTGTGTGTGTGTTTGGTGCTTTGAAAATTAGAACTCTCAAGACTAGCAATATCTTCTGTTCCCCCTGGGCTAGAATTTGGATCATTTCATTATTATCTTAATCTGTTCAAGCTGCTATAACAAAATCCCATCAACTGGGTGGCTCATCAACAACAGAAATTTATTTCTCACATTTCTGGAGTCTTGGAAGTCCAAGATCACGGGGCTAGCAGAGTTGGTGTCTAGGGCAGGCTCACTTTCTGATTGATAGATGGCATCTTCTCACTGAGTCCTCACGTGGCGGAAGGCGCAAGGCAGTAATAAGGGCACTAACCCCACTCAGGAGGGCTCCACCCTCATGACCTAATCACCTCCCGAGGCCCCACCTCCTATTACCATCACCCTAAGAGTTAGGATTTCAAAAGATGAATGTGGAGGGGACAAACATTCAGATCATAACAATTATTATCTCTGTCTTTGGAATTAAAATATCCATCTTATACAAAACTTTAACGAAGATTGGACTGGGGGATGGTTAGAGAAATAGAAAATATACTCATCAGTCAAAAAGAGATAAAAAAAAAAAAAGGAGGAGGTTTCCTGGTACTAGATGTTCAGAGACAGGAGATGTCATTGCTGCTTAGACCACTCCCTGACACTGTTGCCTTCAGCAGCTTGGAGCTGACTGCCACTTGTCTTCACTGGGGCTAAAGATCAACACACCCTGGAAGAACCTCTCAGGTTCTTCACCCATAAGTGCCGGCTGATTCCCAGGTGGAGCTAGCTCTGACCTCAGGATCGTCTGCTCCAGCTGAGATGAGGAAGTTCAGGGACCGAGAAGCTAGGATACCGGGTGTTAGGGCCAGGAGACACTGCATGGAGTTGAGAAGAAGGAAGTCGGGGTGGCTGTGGTCAGAGGAGGCAGGATTTCCATTCATCCTTAAAGCCACCTGGGCACCAGGATTCGAGGTGGTACACGTGAGAACGTTCTTCCCTTTTCTACTGCATTGCAGTCCTCTGAGGACACCCAGGAGAACGCCTGGGGTGGGTATGTCTGTAGCAAACTCCCCTTTCTGTGGAAAGGGAGGGCCGTTAGAGCCTTTGTCGGGCCATAGAATCAAGCTTTCCACATGGGGAAAATTACACCCCTCTTAATTTAAGAAAATCAATTTTTTGACCTAAGTAAATTATTATGAAGTACTTCACTGTAAAGCTGGTTTGGAGACTTAGAAACATCACAGCTCGTCCTGGGCTCCAATCTAAGCAGTGTGCAAAGGAAGCATACGCTTCGCGTGACTCGGTGGCACGCCGGTGGTGAGGGTTTTAATCGTCGTTTTGCCCTTTGACAACTCAGCAAAATGTATGCTAACATTATCCCCATGTCGCAGATAAAAAAAACTGAGGCTCCAAAAGGTTAAAGTAACTGGCACGGTCATGCAACTGTTAAGTGGCAGAGTTGGGGTGCAGAATCAACTCTGTCTGGTGCCGGGGACAGAGTTCATAACCATTAGGCAGCGCTGCCGAGGTCATACCCCGCGTTTATCATTGTCCCACTCCTTCTGTGTGCCGCTGACGAGTCATTGCCTCTCCATCTGTCTAGCTTCCCTATTCCCATGATGTCCGATGAAAGGTCATGCAGAGGAATGATGACCACATGTCTCCCCTGCAGGGGACGCTAATGAACGGCGGGTCTCCTCCGCTGAAGTCCACCAACCTTCCTTGATCTTCCTCCTCTGCCTCAAATGTGCCCCGGGGAGAAGTCAGATAGGAGGACCCTGCTGGGCCTCGGCCAGGTGCATGGTTTGGTCATTGTGTCCATTTTTCCCCAACTTTTTCCAACTCAGCAGATGGGCATCTGTTACTTGGGGCTCTTACAGCTCACTTACGCTTCGACCCAAAACCTAGCCTCGGAGAATACTGCAATTTATCCCAGACAAGCATCGCCTCAAGTTCCCTCTTCATGTGCTTTACCATTCTTTTCAAGATTGTTTTCCCTTATATTTAGGGGATTTGAGGGAGAGTAACATAATACATTATGTGGTTTTCCATTGCCCTGGAATTTCTTCCCCTCTCCCACCCTGATCAGCAGAAACTCCCGGTCTTGTCAGAAATCCGATAATTAAGTGTTCAAGTCTTAGCTGTGCCTCCCCTCATCACCATGCTGTTCATGCTAAGACGCACTTGAGGAGGTACCAGGCTCCAAATTCGTCGCTTTGGAAACTACGTACACTGTATCCAAAGATCCCAGCAAAATGAAACGATCACGATGCGTTCTGAAAGGTGGCGCCATCGATAAAACACGCTCAAGCGCTAAAAGAAATTGGCGGATCCCAGAAGGAAATCTGACAGGGAGTCTAATGAAAATTGTTCTAGAAAGTCCCCACGTTTCACCCTGTGTTTTCTGCTGTGGACATTTGCTGTGGTTGCCTCTCTGCATCTTCCCTTCCAGTCTGACAATGAACCAGGTCATCCCTGGGGAACCCCCTCCCCACCCTCCGTCCGCGTGGTTTGGATGGGGCTCCAGGCCCAGGCTTGTGACTCTGGACTAACCAATGAGAGCCTCACAACACCTTTGAAATAGGCAGAATAATGCCCCCCACGTCCCACCAAAAATGCCCAGGACCTAATCCTCGGAACCTGTGTGTGTGTCATCTGACTTGGCAAGAGGGACTTTGCAGATGTGATTGCAGACCTGGAGGCAGGAGGTTATCCTCAGTTCTCCAGGGGTCTCCCAGTGCAGTCACTGGTGTCCTTATAAGCAGAAGACAGGAGAGTGGGAGTCAGGGAAGATGTGACAAAGGAAGCAGAGGTCCGAGAGGTGCAGGGCCACACACCAGAGAATACAGGCCACCTCTGGAAAACGAGAAAGGGAGGACACAGATCATCTCTTTCCACCTCCAGAAGGAGCATGGCCCTTCTAACCCATTTGTAGACTTCTGACTCCCAGAATTGTGAGATAATAAATTCGCATTGTTTAAACCACTAAGTTTTTTGGTACTTTGTTGCATCAGCAATAAGAAATCGGTGCAACCTTAGATACAGTGATTGTCCAGGGATAGGCCCATGAGCCACTCACAGCTAGTCAGAACCAGGGAGATCCAGTTCTAGGACTTTGCAGGGAGGCTCTTCTGTTTTTTGATGGAGTTGCTGAGAGGATCAGACGGATGCTTGGCAGTGCCGGCAGCCATTGTCATCGTGAGGCGGAAAGTCTGTGCAGGAATGGAGCCAACACAGAGAAGGAAGTGGAAAACGGGAGTAGAGAGGAGAGAACGAGTCTCGAGCCCTTGGGTGCAGCATAGGCCCTTGGCACTTCCACCTGCATCGGCCAAGACAGTCCCATCTGGCTTCCGCCAGTTCAAGCTAGGTTTCTTCCCCTTGCAGTCAAAGGCATCTTGAGATGTTCTGTCTCCCCTCATCGTGACCTTGGAGTAGGTTGTCAAGGACACAGGTGCCACTGATGGAGGTTGTCTCAGGAAACAGCTGAATGGGCATGTTGGTTAATTGATCAGGGAATGACAGGAGCTACCAAAATAAATACTGAACATTTTTCTTAGAAAGTCTGAGCTTCTACACTTTCAGCAGGCCAGACAAGTGCTCGTTCAAAACCATCTCTGGTAGGGGAGTAGGAAGGAGAAGGGTGGCTTTTCAGCCCCTGAGCATCGTGTTGCAACCATCA